TTCCCTATTAACCAGTGACATTGAGCATCAGTCTTTGAGCTAACTGTCCACTTACATATTTTTTTTGGAAAATGTCTATTCAAATTCTTCACCCATTTAAAATTTAAGGGGGACTCCCTGATGGCGCGAGGGGTTAAGTTGGCACTATGAAGCAATCCATAGCTACTGCAGCACAAGTTCGATCCCCAGCCAGGGAGCTACCCACATGGCACGGCAGACCTCTCCCGTCTCGCCTGCTGCTCCCTTCATCAGTGTATTTTCAGTCAAACTGCCTGTTCTGCTCCCCACACTGTCTCTGGTGAATCTTCTCACCCCCCCACCTCTGGCCTGTACCCCAGTTCTTGTATGCATAAATAAATAAATCTTTAAAAAATTAAAATAAAAAAATAAAATTTAACACAAAATTTTGTAACATTTTTTAAATTGAAATATGTAACACGAATTTCACAATTTTGGAGTTTCTACTGTAGAATCTCCAGAATGTTCATTCTCAGTTGAGTAACCCTTGTCCTCAGGGGCCCCAGTAAAAGGGAAATCCCAGTCAGAAGACAGACCTAATTAGCTTTCTCAGCTCTATTTTCCTCAATGTCCCAGAAGTCTCTGGCTAATCTACTGTGTAATATGTGGACTTTTAGGTCTGTCTGCACTTTGCATAACGTTTTTTATTTTTTAAGATTTATTTATGGGGCCTCCCTGGTTTCACAAGGGGGTAAGCACCGCAGTATGAAGCAATCAGTAGCCTCTGCAGCATGAATTTGATCCCCGGCCAGCTAGGGAGCAACCCACATGGCGAAGCAGACCTCTGTCTCGCCCGCTGCTCCCCTCAGCAGTGTACTTCGGTCAGTCTGCCTGTTCTGTTCCCCACTCTGTCTCTGGTGAATGCTCTCACACCCCTGCACCTCTGGCCTGTAACCCAGTTCTTGTATGCATAAATAAATAAATCTAAAAATAAAGGCAACTATACTATTTCAAAGGAAAGATAAACCAACAGCAATTGTTCCTGAGAAAGCCCTGATGGCAGAGACTAAAACAACCATTTTAATGATGTTCCAAGAAATAAAGGAAGATGTGGGAAGTTTATTTTTATTTTTTATTTTATTTTTTATTTTATGTTTTTCATATCATTTTTCATTTTTGCACAATGTATACATTTTCATCTTGGTTATAGTCCCTATACAAATTCCACCCCCCCTTGTTTTGATCCTACTCCTTTCTTCCCCACCCCCGTAGTGTGTCTCTGACTTATAGTTGCTTTTTTATTTTGATTTTTACTTTATTATAATTTAGTCTTTTTCCTTGTCCCTTATTTAGGTTTTCTAAATTCCTGTGATGAGTGAGCCCATCCGGTATTTTTCTTTTTCTTTCTGGCTTATTTTGCTGAGCATGATCCCTTCCAACTCCATCCATGTTGCTGCAAATTGCATGAGTTTATCTTTTGATTGCTGAGTAATATTCCATTGTGTATATGTACACGTCTTCTTGATCCAGTCATCTAGTTTTGGCATTTGGGTTGTTTCCATAGCTTAGCTATTGTAAATAGTGCTGCTATAAACATAGGGGTGCAGGTGCCCTTTTCAATTAATGTGCCCTTTTCAATTAATCCTTTGGGTAAATACCTAGGAGAGGAATTGCTGGATCATATGGAAGCTCCATCTTTAGCAGGTTGAGGAATCACCACACAGCTTTCCATGGTGGTTGGACCAGTTTGCTGATTGGGAGAAAATTTTTGCACACAACACTAATGATAAAGGACTGATCACAAAAATCTACAAAGACCTGATGAGACTCAACAAAAACAAAGTAAATCATCCAGTCAAAAAATGGATGATTTTTTGATCTCCAAAGAGGAAATGCAAATGGCCAACAGTCATATGAAAAAATGTTCAACATCACTTGTAATCAGGGAAATGCAAATCAAAACTACAATGAGATACCATCTTACACCATTGTGAATGGCACATATTAAAAAAAACAAGCAACAACAAATGTCTGTGAGGATGTGGAGAAAAAGCAACTCTCCCGCACTGCTGGTGGGAGTGCAAACTGGGAAGTTTTGTAAAAGCAACATTTGAACAAAATGAACATTTGAACAAAATACCAAAATGTTTTTCAAACTAAAAAGTACAATAACAATTCACTGGAAGGATTCAAATGAAGAGCGCTGGGTTGCAAAGCTGCCTGCAGCCTCTGCAGCGCCGGTTCCATCCCCGGCTGCTCCCCAGCCACCGGGGGAGGGTCCCACATGGTGTGCAGACCTCTCCTGCCGCCTGCTGCTCCCCTCAGCAGTGTACTTCGGTCCTTCTGCCTGCTCTGCTCCCTGCTCTGGCTCTGGTGAATTCTCTCACCCTCCCGCGCTTCTGACTGTACCCCCAGTGCCTGTATAAATAAATAAATAAATAAACAAATCTTTAAAAAAAAAAAAAAGAATGAGTGAACTAGAAGGACAATGGAAACTATCAAGTCTGAGGAACAGGAAGAAAAAAGAAATTTTGACATACTGCAGCGTAGGTGATCCTGGAGGACATCGTGCTAAACGAAATAAGCCTGTCACTAAAGATAAATATTGTGTGATTCCACTTATATAAGGCACTTAGTCAAAATCAGAGACAGAAAGTAGAATAGTAGTTGTCAGGAGCTAAGGGCTTATGAATTTAAATGTGTGTTCCTGAAGATATCCTGACTAACTCATTGGATCAGAGCAAATACTGTTGTCTTAATGTGCATTAAGCAACAAGCCAGGCACTTGCCTTACATTAATCCAGTTGTCTAATCCTTACAACTTTTGAGTTGCTCTATTGTGAGGACTGTTAATTCCATTATCCAGTTTGAGAAAATGAGTCCCATCAGGTTTCAGTATCTTGTTGAGGTCAGACAGCTCATAAGATGAAGCTGAAAGTGACTCTAAAAAAGCTGTGTTTTCTCTGCTACCCAATATTTGCCTGCAGTGTTTGGGCATGGGGAGAACACAGGTTCAGGGGGATGGCTGTGGGTACTCTAAGGAGCCCAAGACTCAGCACCACCCCCAACCGGAGGGAAGAGATTGCCAGACACAAAGTTTTGTGCCTGGCCTCAATAGTGTATTCAGTCCCTAATTGGGAGCAGAACTGACAGTCTAAAAGGAACATCCAGTGTTCAGCAGTGGTGGCAGAATTAGAAGAATAATTACCAACCCAGGCTCTGGCTGCCATCTCCTGCAGATCCTAAACCTGCCATCCCAATACCCTCCAACCTCTGAAACTGGACCTGAGCTGAGCCTGGGTGCTGTCTTACAGAATTTGAATTATTCAGATCCCAGTGACCTGAGGTGTCCAGTTTCAGTTGCTCAGTTCCCAAGGGCACAGATGTCCCAACCCTGTAATTAAGCTAATGAAAAGGGCAAGGGAGGAAGGGGTCTGGTGTCCTATACTTCAAAGGGCCCTTGCCCTTACCCTGCTGAGAATGTACCAGGCGCTCTCAGAGCCCAGGTCTGGGGGATGGAGGGAGGCAGTCAGGGCTGAAACAGAAGTAAGCAAAGGAGGAGAGAGAGGAAAGAGGACCATCAGAGCGAGGGGAGCAAAGAGAGATCAAGAAAGCATTACAGAGACAACAAAAGGAAACAGGCTGAGTGCAAGATAAAGTGGGGGTAGGGGTAGAGAAAAGAACAGAGGCAGAAGTTGGAAGAAGCAGGGACCTACAGGGAAGAACCAAGTGCTAGAATCCAGGAGCAAGTACAAACAGAGGCAGATAAATGTAAGGGCTCCAGTGCTCCCCAGAGGGTAGCTAAATCCAGCAGAGATCTCAGTCTTACTTCTGATTTACAGGTCTTATCTACACCATCCTTGCCAGCAGGGCCGAAGGCTGCCCTAGTTTGGGCCAAGAGGCTCACACCCTGAGATTTGCCCCACCTCCTGCTGTGGCAGAGCCATGGGTCCCTGGAGCCACCACCTCAGCCTCAGCTTCTCTGTCTCCAGCCTGGGCCTTCTGTTCCTACTCCTTCCAGGTATGAAGCTCAGCAAGCCAACTCTGGATCTCCAGGTAGTGCTGCTGTTTCCATCCTCTCTCAACCAATCTCCACATGCTCTTTATTTCTTTCTTCACTACCTGTGTTGGGAGCAAACTATCTAGGGAGTGTGGATGGGGCCATGCTGAAGAGAAGACTTGCCTGGCTCAGGTAGGAGTAATGAGGGGTCTTCCCAGAGACAGGGCTGGAAAAGTCAGGGAGAGGCCAGATCATGTAGGGCCTTCAATGCCAGTCTGAGAGTTCAGGCATTATCCAGCAGGCAGTGGGGAGCTACTGAACAGCTTTAAGCAGCTATTGGCCTGGTCAGTTCCATGTGTTTAAAAACTCGATCTATCGGGAGTGTGAAGAATGGCTAGAGAGGCTGAGTGGGAGAAGCAGGCTGCAGTAAGGAGGCTGCTGCAGCTGCTGTGGTCCACACCAGGGAGGACAAGGCTTCAGCTGGAGAAGAGATGACACATTCAAGACCTGTTTAGTAATCTGACTGATAGGATCTGGGGACTGGTTGGACTAGAGGGGAAGGGGGCAGAAGAAGGGAGAGATAATTTTGGTTTATTTATTTATTTATTTATTTATTATTTTTAATAGAGGCATGTTTTATTTATTTATTTGTTTGTTTGTTTTGTTTATACAAGCACTGGGTACAGTCAGAAGTGCAGGAGGGTGAGAGCATTCACCAGAGCCAGAGCAGGGAGCAGAGCAGGCAGAAGGACCGAAGTACACTGCTGAGGGGAGCAGCGGGCGGCAGGAGAGGTCTGTGCGCCATGTGGGACCCTTCTCCGGTGGCCCGGGAGCAGCCGGGGATTGAACCGGTGCCGCAGAGGCCGCGGGCAGCTTCGCAACCCAGCGCTCAACTGCTGCACCACCGGGGAGGCCCGGGAGAGATCATTTTGGATTTCCAGTTGAGGTCACAGGGGGATGCTGTTTGCTGCAACGGAGAATGCATAAGGAGCAGGTTTCAGAGCTCCTTCATCCCAGGAGGCAGGCTGGGGAGGAACTAGACTACAGCCAGAGGAAGAGAGCGCAGACATGGGGACATTGTGGCTGTGAGAGAGTGGAGCAGAGAATATGAGCAGAGGTGCCTGGACTAAGGTCTCAGATAGACAACCCTTCTTACTGGTCCCCCAGAATGCTTGGGAGTTGAGGGCAGGCTGGCTCACAAACTGTTCCGTGACCTCTTCGCCAACTACACAAGTGCCCTGAGACCTGTGGCAGACACAGACCAAGCTCTGAACGTGACCCTGGAGGTGACACTGTCCCAGATCATCGACATGGTATGTTGTGGTGGTTGTACACTGTGAGGTGTGTCTGTAATAACCTTGTCCAGGAATGGAGGAAAGGGTTAGAGGGAGAGGTGACTAGGATTATTCTCCAAAAAATTATTTTTTGTAAATGTTAATATTAACAACAATACTAACAATTACCAAATGATGGATACTAATTGTTAGTATCCACAACTTGCACACCTAATCCCTGCCTAGCAGAGAAGAATTTGCTAAGGTCACATGGCAAGGTCAGGCCTGGGTGGGAACTGGGCTGCATAGGCAAGTCGGGTTTGTGGGTGCTCTCCAGAGCCCTGTAGATGAGCTTGCATACACAGAGGAGAGTATGTATATTCCTGTATCTACATCTGTGCCCATTCTCTGCCCCCACTAGGATGAGCGGAACCAGGTGCTGACTCTGTACCTGTGGATCCGACAGGAATGGACAGATGCTTACCTACGATGGGATCCCGATGCCTATGGTGGCCTGGATGCCATCCGCATCCCCAGCAGTCTTGTGTGGCGGCCAGACATCGTTCTCTATAACAAGTAATGCCGGCCTGGGGAACCCCCCTTCCCTACCCCTCCCGGAGTTGCCCTAGGCTCCAGGTTTGCACTGACATCCTTCCCCTCCCATCCCGCCGACCTAATCTGGTTGCTATGCTGCCCTGGAAACTTTATGCCTGCACGCTTCTAAATTCATAGTCCCTTGACGGCATTCCCTCTTTAGACTGACCCAAACCAAACCAGGCTGACAGTCTCCTGGGAATCCATTATGTAGTCCTGGGCCAGTTCCGTATCTGGCCCAGAAGTGAGTTCTGGAAAGCATAAGTGTCTCTTTATGGCACTTCCCCCACCCTTCCAGGCTGCTTCTGAGTCTCTCAGGGTTTCCTGGGGATTACCTCCTGGGTCTACACCTCTGGAGCATTCCTTTGTGCCACCTAAACTAGTCCTCTGTTTTCTTTCCCACACAATCCCTGGCTCCTCTAAGAGTTTTGCAGATGACACCCAAGGGGCGTCTCTGTGCTGGCAAGTGCCAACTTTTGCAGAGGTCTTTTCACACTGCCCTCAGCTAGATCTGTGTCCCTTCCGGGACCTCAGGAGCAGCCCCTTCTAGGGCACCAAAGGTACAGAGGGTCCTCTCTACCCCACACTCCATGCTTCCCACTAAGCCCTAGGGTCCTGCAGTCACAGAGCCCCTGGGGTCTGTCCTGGCCTCCATGGCCCCAGGGCTCCACTGTGATCACCTCAGGGAGCTCCACCCACCTCCTACAGGGCTGACGCTCAACCACCGGCCTCAGCCAGCACCAATGTGGTCCTGCGGAACGACGGCTCAGTGCGCTGGGACGCACCCGCCATCACGCGCAGCTCCTGCCGCGTGGATGTGTCAGCCTTCCCATTTGATGCTCAGCGCTGCAGCCTGACATTTGGCTCCTGGACACATGGCGGGCATCAGCTGGACGTCCGTTCTCAAGGAGCCGCCGCCAGCCTAGCAGACTTTGTGGAGAACGTGGAGTGGCGTGTGCTGGGCATGCCTGCGCGGAGGCGCGTGCTCACCTATGGCTGCTGCTCCGAGCCCTACCCAGACGTGACCTTCACGCTGCTGCTGCGTCGCCGAGCTGCAGCCTACGTGTGCAACCTGCTGCTGCCCTGCGTGCTCATCTCACTGCTAGCACCACTCGCCTTCCACCTGCCCGCCGACTCAGGCGAGAAGGTGTCACTGGGCGTCACCGTGCTGCTGGCGCTCACCGTCTTCCAGCTGCTCCTGGCCGAGAGCATGCCGCCCGCAGAGAGTGTGCCGCTCATAGGTGAGCAGAGAGTGCTGGCAAGCTCCAGAACTTCTAAGTCCTGGAGACTGGTCCTTGCACACTTCTCCAGTGCTCAGGGGCAGGGACAAGAGGAAAGCCAGGGGCAGGACCTGGGGCAACAGACTGGGCCACACCTTAGTGTGACAGCGAGCATGTCTCATTCTGAGAAGCAGGGAAAGGAGTGGTCCCTTCCAGGGGGGACTTTCCTCTCTAGTGGGGCAGGAAGAAACAGGTCTCGGTCTTTTCTTCAGTACTTGAGGAAAGACTATCAACATCGTCACTATGGTAATAACAGGCAAAATGTACTAAATATGTGCCTGACACTCTCCAAAGCACTTGCCATTTATTAACTCAGGGAAGCATCACACAAATCTGTGAGGTAAGTTCTAATGTTATACCGGTAGTGCTGAGAATATCAGTACCTAGCCTCAGGTCATGCTGTTGCTGTTGGAGAGCAGTGGCTTTTGCCAGTTGTGTATGAGTGCAGCCTCCAACTGTGAAGAGAATGATTAGGAAGCAACTGTTGCTAAGCACCCACCTATAGGAATGCAGGACTGGAGACCATGGCCTCCTTCCTGCTTGCATCTGTTGGGCTTGGAGGTTCCTGAGAGCGTGTTCCTATTTGTGCTGAGGTGGCTGGGAAGTTCAGGCTCCCTGAGTTCTAGATTTGAGTCCGGCTCACTCTTTCTCTTGCAGGGAAGTACTACATGGCCACCATGACCATGGTCACCTTTTCCACGGCGCTCACTATTCTTATCATGAACCTGCATTACTGTGGTCCCAGTGCCCGCCCAGTGCCAGCCTGGGCCCGGGCCCTCCTGCTGGGATATCTGGCACGGGGCCTGTGTGTACGGGAACGCGGGGAACCCTGTGGGTGGTCTAGGCCACATGAGCCACCCCCCAACCTCCAGCCTTCTGAGGCAGGGACTGGTCCCCCAGCAAGCCCTTGCCATGACCCTCAGTGTCTGTGCCATCAGGAAGCTCTACTCCATCACGTAGCCACCATTGCCAGTACCTTCCACAGCCACCGGGCAGCGCAGCGCCGCCATGAGGACTGGAAGCGCCTGGCCCGTGTGATGGACCGCTTTTTCCTGGGCATCTTCTTCTCCATGGCCCTAGTCATGAGCCTCCTGGTGCTAGTGCAGGCCCTTTGAGTCCCAGGGGTCTGCTGAAGCCACAGCACCTCCAGACAGGGATGGAAAGGTCAGGTAGTTGTTGGCCCTCAGCTAGGCCACCCATTTCTCCCCACTGTACCTAAGAGCTAGAGCCACCTTCTGTTCAGGATCAGTGCTGGCTGCTGACTTCACAACCCACAAGGGGATACTTGCTGTCTATGTACCCTAACTTCTAAGGCAAATCTGAAGCTTGCCACTCCCTTAATCCCTAAAGGGGAAGAATGCTCATAAGGGTCAAGATCAAAGCCCTGGAGGTAGACGTGAACTTGAATGCTAAGTGTTAGAGCTTGCCGTGGAGAGAGACCTGCTGCATTTCAGTCTTCTCGTCTTTCCTCAGAGGCTGCTATTACAGGCACTTGGTCTTGCCTGTCCCCTAGGGGCTCAAAGAAGGGGATTCATGGTCTAGTTTCCAGAGTTCCACAGAGATTTGGCCCAACTCAGTAAAATCCCAACTCAATAAAGTGTGTGATTAGCACCTCTTTGGTGTCCTGTCTTACCCTTGGTGCCCATGGTGGTGGAAATTGGGGATTCATGTGTCTCCCTCGAGACAGTAGCCTTAGGACTCATGGATCAGAACAGAATTACATGTCCACTGACGAGAAAATGACTGAGATTCAATGAAGACCTTACCAGAGGTCCTGATGCCCTCTCTGCATCTCACCTGCCCCCTACGCTCCGGAGTTAGGCCAGGTCCACCCCATTCCCACAGTGACATTTGGAGAGCTTGTATGAGTCCAAGGCAGGGGCAGTGCAGGGACTACCATTCACACTGTATTCATCCCTTTCTGACTGTTGCGCGTTTCCCAGCATACCTGTGTGCCTCAAATCCAGTCCCAGCCCTCAGCAAGCGCACAGTCTGATGTGGCAAACAAACACGGACACATGAAATAGAGAGGCACCCAGAGGCCTGTGGGAGCAAGTGGTGGCCCCAAATCCAGCAGGTGGGAGAGGTCAGAGAAGGCCTCCCAGAGCAGTGAATAGGAGCTTTCTAGGTACACATGTGAGGCATTTGAGCAACACCAGCAAGCACTTGGCCATTACTTTCCTTGCCAACCCCGTTCCCCACCTGTACAAACACACACGCACTAGTCTAAGTGTCTTCGATCTTGTAAGCCAATTGCTACTATCCTGGAGTTCCCCACCTCTGTTCAGCGTCTCACTCCCAGAGCCCTGGTTAAGGCTCAGTTCCCAAATCCTCTTCTCTTTCTCCACCAGCAGACCTGGCAGCTACCAGAGAGAGACCCAGAGTTCCCTGCAGATGAAGCTGGCATGGACTTGAGCTACCCTTAGAGCACGCACGGTGGGCATCCTCATGCCAAGCAGAGGTGGCAGGCAGGCTGTTCCATCTGATGGATCAGAGGAGGCCTGGATGCCTTGGAAAGGCCTCTCCTATAAGGAGCCACAGCAGCAGTAGAAGGAACCAGAATGCAGAAAGGGGGCCCTGGCCCATGGCTGCAGGGAAAAGAGAGGCAGAGAGAGAGGTTTAGAGGCAATGTGATGTCCATGAAGAAACAAGAAGACGAGAAATTAGCAGAGTGAGCTGGCAAAAGTGATAGAAGAAAATTGCAACAGGAGACAGAGATGAAGGGCAAGAATTAGGGGGAAGGTGGACAGAGATGAGGAGACCAAGGAGAGCCCAGTTCCCTTCCAGGGGGCACTAGGTCCCTCCCCCTGCCTCCTACTGACACAGATGAGATATTGCAGAAGGGGGATGAAGTGGAGGAACTGAGTGGATCTAGTGATGCTCCTCTTTACGCACCTGCCCAAGCTTTGGTAGGTGAGGTGCTGATGGGCCAGAGAGGGAGATTATAAACTTTTCTAGTGCTTGAAATATTTCAGAACTCTAACCACATTGGAGGATGGAGACCTGGCTTCTGGTCACCTTGGACAAGTCACTGTCTCTGGGTCTCGCTTTTCTATAAAATGAGGTTTCATAAAATGAGATTCTGCTTCCTTCCAATAGATGACTATGCAGTAAGGAGAAAATAAGATGGTATTTGGGGAATGGAGGGAGCCAATCTCACAGTGTTGGTTACCAAGAGTTTGGCTGTGTGGCTTGTTGCTTTACCTCTCTGCCTTAGTTCCCTCATCTGCAGAACAGGGGTGACGACCACCACTACTGGGTTGTGGGTAGGATGCATAGTACAGTGTGCCTAGACTCTGAGTGGTGCTACCCCACAGAGCATAGCAGGAACAAAAAGTGGAAACTGGGACTTAATCCCACCACTGTTCCTGGAGCCCTGAGGAAGAAGCGGGTACTCACGGGAAGGGTGGCTATAGTTCTTTCTCTGGGGATGGCCTGTTTGAGATGGTTCCCCTGGCAAGACCAGTTCCCACCTACAGAAGTGGGGGCCCTGGTGCAGCATTGTTCAATGGAAGAGGAGAGTCACAGCTGAAAAGGACCGGAAATCATCTAGTCCAATATGCTTATTAGACACAGGTCTAATAACAGAAACTGAGTCACAGAGAAAGTTAGGACAGAGCCTGCACCGGAAGGTCTCTGGCCACCGCCTAAGGGAGTCCTCAGTGGTTGTAAGAGAAGGCCTAAGGGAGGGTTTGATAGGCCTTGCCCTTCCTTCTGTCTCCTGCATGCAACCTGAATCATTCTGGGGCCTGATCAGCATCTTCCTTTGAAGCAGTCTAGGGGGCAGGGGTGTCAGCTCACCCTGAAAACTGCCCCCCACACATAGACATCTTCTGGGAGAGGTGAGCAAACTCTTACCTCTTGGTCCCCCAGAACTGTCTAAGAGCGTTTACTTGTTTTGACTAAAAGGGGGTTGTTTTCTTTGTAAGAGGATACCCAGGCAAGGAGCCCAATCCAGGGCAGCTTGCTCATCCCCAAACTGGGCCCAACCAATGTCTGCAGCCCTTACCTGAGTTATCCAGGTGGCAGGGCCCAGACTTGCACTTCTTGTCTGCAGGGATGAAAGAGTAAAGAGTCAAAGGCTCCCAATATGGGAAAGGATGTCAAGTTCAATGGTCCATCTCTGACTTCTTCTAGCAAAACCCAGGGCACTTCCCCCAGTGCCACTTCCTTAGTGGGACATTGCTAGCCCAGGCTTGACTGAAATTGAAGCAGTGAGCCAGCCCTGAAAGCCACAGTCTGTTCTGGGTTATTCCTCCTGCTCTCTTGGCCTATTACTTTGCCTCCCTGACTCACCTACCTTTCCCTGGCCATGCCTTGTCCCAGTCAAGGGGGGCTCTTTTGTGTCCTTTGCAGGTCTTCCTCAACTTCTGTCAACACGTGCAGACTCATGATGCTGTCTGAGGTGAGAACTAGAGTCACACAGAACTTTCTCCCATTTTAGAAATGGCCCACGCTTCCAATGAACAGCTTGCCTCTAACTATGAAAATGGGTCTCATGAGCCCCTGGAATCACTCAGCCAGATCCAGGAACCCGCAATCCCCTGTGAGATTAAGAACCTAAACCTGGGGCCTCCCTGGTGGCGCAGCAGTTGGGCGCTGGGTTGCGAAGCTGCCCGCAGCTTCTGCAACACCAGTTCGATCCCCGGCCACTGGGCGAGGGTCCCAAATGGCGCGCAGACCTCTCCTGCCGCCCACTGCTCCCCTCAGCAGTGTACTTCGGTCCTTCTGCTTGCTCTGCTCCCTGCTCTGGCTCTAGTGAGTTCTCTCACCCTCCTGTGCTTCTGACTGTACCCAATGCTTGTATAAATAAATAAAATAAAATCTTTTTTAAAAAAAAAAATCTTTAAAAAAAAAAAAAAAAGAACCTAAGCCTGTCTTCATGCTTCTCTGGTCATCCCAGGTAAGATGGAAGGAAGACTTCCTAAGACCTGCCTTGGCCTGAAGTGTATGTAGGACACAGCACCCAACTGCTGCTTCACTGCCCCCTGCATCCCCGCACACCTAACAGCACCAGGATTCCTGTTCAGTGGAACACATGCTCCTCTCAGAAACTGGGATTGGGGCTCTTATCACTTCTGTTAATACTATGGCTAGAAATTGATCTACTTCCAGCTTCCAGATGGGCGAAAAGCTTGACCAGGTCAAAATACTGACCAGGTATTTTATAATACAGTTAAACCATATTTTATTCAACCATTTCCTTCTTAGTGGACACGTAGGTTTCTTTCTTCATTTTTATATTACACAAAATATTGCAATGAACATCCAAATATATAAGTCCTTGTCTCATAGTTTTATAGGAAAGCTATCAAAAAGTGGGGACAAATTGCCTGCCCTGGTCAGGAATCCCTCTTTGGCCTCCCAGCAAGCAAGTGACCAACTCTGTTGTAGACACCACCCGGGACAGGAAGAATGCTGCCTCAGGCTGTGTCTCCCCGTAGATGGAGAGTGTGGAGGTGCAGAGGGTCAGGACTGCCTCCTCCTCACTGCTTGCTTGTTTCTTAATAGCTAGGTATGTATCCTCTGGAAACAGCCTGGGGAAGTCCACCTCCACACAGGGGCTGCTGCCCGGCGCGCCATGCTCACCTTTGATGTACTCACAGTTGTAGGTGCTGCGCTTGCCCAGGGCCCGGAGGTAGATGCGGGCAGGGCCCTGGACAGGTCTACTGGCATTGATCACCTGGAAGGTCTCGAAGGGGGGGATCAGCACCTCCTCCTCACCAGGGAAGAAGGAGTAGCCCTTGATAGGGGCCCCGAGGCAGGTCCAGATGCCAAAGAAAGTGTCCTTACCAAAATGCTGAGCTGCAACATTCTGCAGGGAGGCAGAGGCAAAGCCCCCCAGTCTGACAGTGGCCCCAGGCCCTGCCGGCCGGAAGCGCAGGCCATGTACCCCTCGGAACACCTGGTGGCACCGGGGCAGACGCTGGCCTTTGCCTAGTACTTGCAGGGCCTCAGTCAGCAGGAAATGGAGTGTCTTGAAGGGGAAGTGGTTGAGGTAGTGGGCCCGGGAGCGGCCTGCCTCTCGCACGGCTGCATTGAATTCCTTGTGCAGGGGGCTGTTGGAGGTGTAGGCCAGGAGAGCCACCCCATGCTCATCACGAAAGCCAGGGGGTCTCAGGGGTAGGCGGGTAGGGCTGAGGCCCCACTCTGGCCCCCAAGCCTGGCGCTCCTGCCACTGACTGCTGGCCAGTGCCCAGCCGTCTGCATACACTTTATTGGCCTGGAACTCTGTGAGGTTGAGAGCTGGGAGGGCAGCCATCATGGCCTCTGCACAGCCAGCATATTGGTCATCAAAAGAGGCTGGGGCCATGTCCAGGGGCATTTCTTGAGAGAAGAGGTCTCGTCCAGTGATGGAGTGACCGTGAACCTGAGGAAGAGGGAGAAGCTAGGACTGAGAGGATGGACCCTGGGATAATAGGGGCTTATCATGCAGCTTTCCCCTCCACTAGGCTGAGAAAGATGCTAAGGGATCCAAAAATACCTAGAGGGAAAAGGGATTGGGAACTGGTAGCTGCAAACTCCACAGGACTTGAGTCTGGAGCTATCCCCTCAGGCTGCATGATCCCCAAGGGAAATGCCAGGCATTGTCCTCTCCCTCTGCTTCTCTTTCCATTGTTCACAAGCCAACAGCTTAGCTCCCTGCTAGCATGGGGATAGTGGAGGATGACCATACCTGTGGTGCTTCCATGAGGCCCATGGACACAAGTGACAGAAATACCATGGCAGGAGTCTGCATGTTGGAGGTGACCCTGGGCAAGTTATTGTTTCTCTTTGGGTCTCAGTTTCCTCATCTGGAAAATGGGAATGTTAATCTGTACAGCTTCATAAATATCACTTGACACCTAGTCTGTGCCATACCTAGTGCTTGACACAGAGTCACAACATGGAAAATGGAGGTACAGAAGAGAAAGAACCCATCTTGCTGAAGAAATATGGGAGCCTTCCTGGAGGAGGTGACATGTGAACAGTGTCTTACAGAATGAATAGGAGAACAAGGCTGCAACCAAAGAAGACAGGGAAAGAAAAGACTGGGGTTTGATTAAGAAAGAAGTTTTGGGCAGCAGGAAAGGAAAAGTAAGCACTCTCAGGATGTGAAAAGTAGAAGATATTTTGTCAAGCATGCCAAGCTTGCATATGGGACTATTGACAAAACTGGACCAATTGTGAAGGATCATGACTGCCATGGTGGGGCCTCTGGGCTTCACCTCATGGGTCACCTGGTGGGATCACAGAACTCAGGAGTAGGCTTAGCGCAGGACTTGAAGCTGCAGAGGTCCTCCCCTTTTCCTGCAGTTCCTGGTACATGCTGAGTCCTCTTCCCCTCAGCCCTCAACCGCCTGAGGGCCATGGACAGCTATAAATCCCCTGCACCTTTGGCCTGCACCCCAGCTCCTGTATGCATAAATAAATAAATATTTTTTAAAAAGATTTATTTACTTATTTATGCAAAGAACTGGGGTGTGGGCCAGAAATGGGAGTGGTGAGCGGATTCATCAGAGACAGAGTGGGGAGCAAAACAGGAGAACTGACCGAAATACACTGCTGAGGGGAGCAGCGGGCGAGACAGGAGAGGTCTGCTGCACCATGTGGGTCAGTTCCCTGGCTGGGGATTGAACTCATGCTGTAGTGGCTGCTGATAGCTTGATAGCACTGAGATCTTAACCCCTGAGCCACCAGGGAGGCCCAATATCATAAAATTTTAATTTTCTAATAGGTAATCCATGTTCATTTTTCAAAATGTAATCTAAAAGGCATGCAGTAAAGTGTCTCAGTCACTCCCCATGTCCAACCTCTCCAGAGATAACCAATATTCCCATTTTCTGTGTATCCTTCTAGAGATACTCTAGCACATAAAAGACTATTCAGTTATTTCTGTTTTCCTTTTAGTACACAAATGGTAATACAGCCAGTGGGCCTTTATCTTTGCGAATCTGATAAAACCCGAAGTCTACTCAGTAAATGGATATATGCACCTTCACACAAATAAGACATATACTTCAGGTGGCTATGCCTGTCCCCCACCTCCCCCCACCCCATCTCACTAAGGTTAGCATCACTGCTCCTAGTCCCCTCTGGTTCTTGGAGATACTGCTCCCCAATTCCAGAATGGAATGCTAACGGGCAGTGTATGTGGCAGCAAGAAAATGCTCTTGTCTGCGAACTCTTGGAACCCATTAAAGAAGCCTGAGCTTCTAAAATAGAACCTCTCTTTCTTGTGGAGAAAGCTGTCCATGTGTTCAGGTGGGGTTTTCCCTACCCTGTGCACCCCTATTGACACTCAGTAAAAGGGAGTGTGCCAGACACGGTTGATTCCCCAAACAGTATTCCCTCAGACCACTTTCAAGTTCACACACAGGTGCAATGGGTGCTAATGGAGCCCCAACTCTGCTGTTCACATTTCTGTCTGAGGCTTTCTCCATCACCCTGGGTGCTTGCTAATGGTAGCCCAAAAGTGCAGGGAATTTAATAACCTTAGGGACAACCCTCAACCAATGATGGATGGAAGTTAGAGGTTCCACAGTGGGACTAAGCCCCAGGTTGTCTCAATGGTCACAGTGTGCTCATTAACACACTTTTTATTGGCTTTTCTGCCTTCTTTGTCTCACACTGCCACTCACCCCTTTACTAGGACATCCTGGGATCATATTACAAAGAAGTTCACTACACCCTTGTCTCTGGGTCTGCTTTGGGAGAACCCAAAACAAAAAAGAGGGTCTTTTTCTTGGATCACAAGCCATGCAAAAGTGGCCCAGACTATTCCTTCAACTTGGACCCCAGAATGAGCATGTAAAGAGCTCACCTTAGCCCCAACAATAGCAAGACTAGCTGAGCCAAAGTGGCAGCCTAAAACAGAGCTGCCCAGCCATGCCCTCTTAGATGAGCCAATCTGCTGTCAACCTGAAGACCCATCAGCATGAGAATAAACACTCACATGCCTCTAAGCATGAAATGGTCATGCAGTGAAAACTCTCCACTGTCCTGTTTCTGTCCCCATCTTTGCTCTGCAGGGACAAGTTAGTAAAAGAAATCAGAGACTTGGGATAGGGAAGAACTGTGAAATCAGACTGAGGACAATGAATCACTTGGGCTGATTAAGGTAATGGCAGTGAGGATGGACTCTGAGTTAGAATTTACTAGACTGTGGGCCTCCCTGGTGGCACAAGGGGTTAAGCACAGCACTATGAAGCTATCCTCAGCCTCTGCAGCATGAGTTTGATCCCTGGCCAGGAGCTACCCACATGGCACAACAGACCTCTCCTGACTTGCCCGCTGCTCCCCCCAGCAGTGTGTTTCAGGCAATCTGCCTGTTCTGTTCCCTGCTCTGTCTTTGGTGAATCCTCTCACCCTCCTTCACCTCTGGCCTGTACCCCAGTTCTTGTAGCATAAATAAATAAATAAATCAGTAAAAAAAAAGAATTTTCTAGACTGATGGGATATTGAAGGTGAGAGAGGGAAAAATCAAGGATTAGCCTCATGTTTCCACGTTGTGAGCTGGATACACAGAGCAGAGTGACTTTAAGCACTCATCTTGCTCATCACAGAGATGTTCAATAAACAATATATCGAATGAATGATGAGATCTGGAGGGGAGATATGAGTTCAGTTTGGTATACGTAGACTCTCCAGGGGCATCAGATGTCTGAGAGGAAACAGAATGGAGAATAAGATGAGACATTTGAGAGTCGTGGTTATACTGTAGAGGGAGGGAAGACATGGGATCCCCAGAGAAAGATGCAAAGGCTGAGAAGCAGAGAGAGCTGCTTGGAGAATGAAGCCAAAGCACGGGTGCACTGAGACATCTTCTTGGGTTTTTTATTTATTTATTTTTTAAGATTTATTTATTTATACAAGCACTGGGTACAGTCAGAAGCGCGGGAGGGTGAGAGAATTCACCAGAGCCAGAGTAGGGAGCAGAGCAGGCAGAAGGACCGCAGTACGCTGCTGAGGGGAGCAGCGGGCGGCAGGAGAGGTCTGCGCGCCATGCGGGACCCTCCTCGGGTGGCTGAGGAGCAGCCAGGGATCGAACCGGCGCTGCAGAGGCTGCAGGCAGCTTTGCAACCCAGCGCTCAACCACTGCGCCACCGGGGAGGCCCCATCTTCTTGGGTGTTTAAAGGCTTTTCATTTCCAGCCCTTGCATCTCCTGAGTTATGCTAGAATGTTTGTGCTAAATTCCTCTTTAGGTTCGATCTAGCTCAGGGAGTTTCCTGTTAACTTACCATCAGAATCATCTCATCTAATATACCATCCTTATTATTCACCCACTTACCCAAAATGGCCACTTGGGTATCCATTCATTCAGTCATTCATCAAACATTGTTAGTTGCCAACTAATGTGGATCCATCCTAGATGCACCTTCCCTTTCCCTCACCCCCACATCCCCTGTCATGGCTCATGCCCTGGTCTTACTGGTCCCTGCCTCTTCTGTCATCCCTGCTAATCAACCATCTTTGGAGTGGGGACATCAATGTTTCTAATGCTAAGTTCCTTACCTACTTAAAACCCCTCTGTGCCAAACTGACTGGAAAAAAAAATCTCAAAGTACAGAGTGAAAATGCAGAAGTGAAAATTATGAAGGAAGAGATAAAAACAAAATAAGGGGGATAAAGTAAAAACACAAAACAAAATAAAATTTCCCTCCAAACCCTCAGTTCAGGGGCCAACCTGCTCAGGGTGGCATTTGAGGTCCTCTGTGACCTAGCCCTCCACCCGCACTGGCTGCTACTGTCAGAATAAAGTTCCAGATGACACCGCCCTGGGAGTCTTCTCTCTGTGTGCCTTTGCACACTTTGCTGTCTGCTGGGGATGGCTTCCTGCTACCTACTCCTCAAGGCTTAGCTCAGAGGTTACTTCCTCCAGGAAGTCCTCTGGGCTCCTACTCTGTGCTTTCTTCTGTCACTGTTCTAATTACACTGTGCTGCCATTAGATGTCTGTCTCTCCCCCACAACCCCACCTGGGGGTTCATTGAAGGTGGGAACTATTCATCAGTTCTGTGTCCCCAGAGGTCAGCATAAAGCCTAGAGGTGAGGCTTCCTGAAATGTTTGCTGAGAGTCTGAGGGATTTCCCAGGTGCAGGCAACAATGGGGATCATTGTAAGCACGTGACTTGATGACTCTGGTGGCCAGTACTGGGGTAAATGTAGGGGGTGCGAGCAGAGTGACAGGAGGGTGTGGTTGTTGAAGTGGAGGCAACTGGGTAACTCCTTTTCAGAACCGAAGGGAGCTGCCCTTCTCTGTCCTTCCTCTCATGCTGCTCAGGACACTTCTCTTGTCAGTTTTTCCTTATCCAGGCCCTCATTGAACATTCCTTCTGGGAATGTGATCCAGAAATCCCCAATTTTCCCAATGGCCCCAAACTTCCCTGATTTTCCCAAGCCTCCTTAAGTAGGGAGGCTTGGGAGCCTCCCTATCAAAGGTGTTATGATCTAAGTTTGTCCCCCTCCCCACACCCACCCCTAGCTCACATGTTGAAATCTGAATGCCCAATGTGATATTAGAAGGTGAGGCCATTGGGATGTGATTAGTTCATGAAAGTGCAGCCCCACAGAGCTCCTTAGCGTCCTCCGCTGTGTGAAGACACAGAAGGTACTAGCAGTGAATTAGGAAAGGAATCCTGACCCAATCATGCTGGCACCCTGACCTTGAACTTCCAAGCTCCAGAACTGTGAAAAATAAATGTTTGTTGTTAATAAGTTACCCAATCTGGATTTTTTGTTATAGTAGCCTACAAGGACTAAGATAAGAGGTTCCCTGAAACTTTTCTTAATGATTCCTAAAACCCCACCACAACCACCCTAAATTTCCCCTGAAAAAAACCAAAAGCCTCTTTCCCTGACTGGCACCCAGATGGTGTATTCCTTACCTAGGCCTTCTCCAGAGTGGGGACGCCGGTGCTGGTCTCCTGTGATGGCCACTGGGGGAGGGAGAGGGCATGCTTCTCCTTTATACTGTCAACCCCCCTCTCCCCACCCCCTCCTCCACTGGACTTCCCCCACAGCAGCTGCTCAGAAATGTGACACTCCCCCAGCTATTTCTGGATGTCTCCTTAAGGCTCAGAAACACTAGCTTATGCCCAGTCTGCCCTGGGCCAGTGCTCCCCCATATAAGAGGGACTCCCTGAAGCAGAGAAGGTGGGAGTAAGGCATGGAGGATCTAGGCTGGAACACTGCCTCTCTAGTGGCTTGGATCCTGCAACTCAGCACCCCTGGCCTCAAAGAGTTTCTCCTTACGTTTTTTTTTTTTTTTTTTTTTTTTCATGTGAGCATGGTATGAGGAGAAATTCCCACATTAAGAAGACTGAGTTCTGGGTCCCTGCTACATTGATTTGCTGTGTGATCTTTCTGCCTCACTCAGGGGCTCTGCTCAATGACTAGATTTAACTACCTCTCTTGGGGGGCTTTCTGGAGGTTCCAAGTTTTGGGATGGAAGAAATAATCTTCCAAGCCAGAAGGCAGAGGACAAACTCATGGTATCGGGGATTGTCCCTGCAGGTCTAGCTGCCCTCGAACAATATCTTCTGTTCCAGCAACTGTAAATTCTCATGTCTTTCCAGTGAGAGGCAGGAAATGTAGACAAGATGCTACCTGCTGCTTTTCACAATGATGGCAAGCAGTGGGTGACTCTTGATTTTCTAATCTAGGCTCTGGGGGTGATCAATCTTTTTTTTTTTAAAAAAAGATTTATTTATTTATGCATACAAGAGCTGGGGTACACGCCAAAGAGCAGGGGCGGGGCGGGGGTGTGTGTGTGAGAGGATTCACCAGAGACAGAGTGGGGAACAGAACAGGCAGACTGACGAAATACAATGCTGAGGGGAGCAGCGGGCACCACAGGAGAGGTCTGCTGCGCCATGTGGGTTGCTCCTGCGGACAGCTTCATAGTGTGGTGCTTAACCCCTGTGCCACCAGGAAGGCCTTGGGGTGATCAGTCTTATTGGAAGGGGGCACCAGAACTTGTCTTGAAGCTGATTGGCATTCTGGATTTGGGGGAATCCACTCTACAGCTCTCCCCACCCTTCCGCCAAGCTCAGACGCACACTTTGTCTTCTATTTCGCACTACAGGAAGAGTTTTTAGAGAAAGCAGGATTTTAGGTGAAGGCAATTATTTATGTGGACGGCAAGCTGAGGGGATGGGGTACAGGGGTGGAGCCAAGCCAGTAAGCCAGAGCAGGATGGAGGCCTTGGAGTAAGTGTAACCTTCCATGCCCAGCTCAGTCCCAGCAGGCAACATCTCAAACCCTCATGTTCAACGCCCCCACCCCTCTGGCCACCAAAGGGCAAAAACCCTCCCACCCCTAGAGGTTCAGCCACTCTGAAAGCTTTTCCCACAGCTGCTTTCAGATCCTTTAACCGGCCCCTTCTCCTGTTACTCCGCTTGGACATCCAGAACTCTCAGCCAGGTTATTTACAGACAAGCCTACGAAAAGGCGAGTGTTTATAAACATCGGGTCACCTTAGTCTGAGCAGTCCAGAGAGAATCTGGGGGGGCTAGGTGACTCAACCCTAAGGACCTGAGGCCACTTTACATCTGGCCCAACCCTGACAGGGATGAGAGGGTAAAGCGGGGGAGAAGGGTGGGGGCCTCAGATTCTTGACCACGAGATGCAAATTGCATGCAAATGAGCGAGTACGCCCGTGGTGACTTCAGGGAGGAGAGACCCCGGGGGCTCCCGGGCCTAATGGGCCGGGGGTCGGGGCAAGGCGGGGTCTGGGCCCACCTCAGGGAGAGGTCAAGTCTCACAAGACCCCTCGCACAGCCCTCATGTTGCTCGGAGCCACAGAAGGTCCTGGAGAAAGAACTGGGTGTCCTTGAGAGAGAAGCGGCGCGCCCCAGCCCCTTCCCCGCCCCCCGCCGCCCGCTCCGTGGTGGGGCAGCGGGGTGTCGGGTGACGGCCGCGGCTATAGTTAGCCGCCCCGCTGTGTTTACCGGCCGGACTCCGGGGCCAGCGCCGCGCTGCGCCGCCCAGACCTCAGCCCCGCGGGCCCCTGCGGCTCCCCGACTCCCCAGCCTCAGGTGGGTCCTCGCCCCCTCAGCCTCTCTGGAGGAGCCAGACTGCGCTCTACCTTCGCCACCATCACAGAAACAGCTCCCACCCCACCCCCACCCCCACCCCAGCCCCACTCCGACCCCCAGCCCGAGCCCGAGCCCGAAAAACGCTGCGCTGAGGCGCCTCGGGGAATCTGGGAACCCAGGCCTGGGGCTGCTCTTGCGAGGGGGGACTGGACACCCCGAGGCGCCCCACCCCCCCAACCACGCCCCGCCCGGGCCGGGCCTGGATCTGGGACCCTTCACGCCACAGAAAGTGTCCGGGTCACCATCCTCCCGCCCACTGAAGCCACGACGTGCCCGTCGCGGCGGGTCCTGTCCTCATCTGGACCGCGTCCCCTGAAGGCTGCCCCAAGATGGTGCTGGCTTTGCTGATCGCCCTCGGCTGCTTTGCTCTCCAGAACTTCGGGCAGGTAACAGGGGAACCGTCCCCAGCCAGGAACGCTTGAGGGACAGACCCTGGGAGGTGGGCTGGGGGACTGACTCCTCACAAATCTCTCCGTGGGATCCCAGTTCTCTCAATCCTCTTCCGCTTGGGAACCTCCATTCCTGTGGAAACACCCATTTCCTCTCCCAGAACCCCCACACTCTTACCACCTGGTCCTCTCACCACCTTCCTTCCTTCCCTAGGGACGTCTCCAACTTTCTTCTCCTCACTTCCCATCTCCTACCCAGGCAACACCCCCCTCCCCTTCCCTGTATACTTCCCCCCTCCCAGACCATGGTCTTCCCCATACCCAGCCCAGGTTTGGGGATAAGGGCTTCTGAAGTGGGGAGAGGACTCAGGAACCTCTTAGAACTGACAATGACTTGGTGTGGTGGCTGAGAGGGAACATGTCTGAAGACGGAGACAGGTAATTGTCTACCCATTTGCATATCACCCGCATACTGGTCTTAGAGCCAGGACAGCACTTATAAGTTAACTGGCCCTTCTTGCAGGGCCTCTCTAATGACAGAATGACTGCTTTTAGGGTTAGGAAGTGAAGTTCTCTGTGCTTTCCTCACAGTAACCCTGTGAGGTTGAAGTAGCCCAGAAAAGTGATGTCTTGCCTGATTCCACAGGCTGTAGCTGTGAAGCCAGGCTTTGAACTCATGAACGTCTGAGTGTATTGCCTGTGTTACTAATGCTTTTGGGCTCTTGCCAAATTGAATCACCAGATATTTAGGCGTAGAAATGAGATTCTGTGTTCCTGATCTGCCGCCAGCGCTCCTGGCGGGTGCTCTGAACTTAAGCATTTTCCCCTGGTGGCTGCTCTCTTTTTTACCTCCATAGGCCCAAGCAGTTCCCATCTTGCCCCTGAGCCTGGCTCCAGACACCTTTGATGATGCTTATGTGGGCTGCTCAGAGGAAATGGAGGAGAAGGCAGTCCTTCTGCTAAAGGAGGAGATGGCCCGCCATGCTCTGCTTCGGGAGTCCTGGGAGGCAGCCCAGGAAGCCTGGGAGCGCAGGTGTCAAGGGCTCACCCTGCCCCCTGGCTTCAAAGCCCAGCACGGAATCGCCGTCATGGTCTACACCAATTCTTCTAACACCTTGTACTGGGAGCTGAACCAGGCAGTCCGGACAGGCGGTGCCTCCCGGGAGCTCTACATGAGGCTTTTCCCCTTCAAGGCCCTGCATTTCTACCTGACCCGGGCCCTCCAGTTGCTGCGGGGGAGTGAGGGTTGCAGGAGGGGATCTGAGGAGGTGGTGTTTCGAGGTGTGGGCACCCTGCGTTTTGAACCTGGGAGGCTAGGGGACTCTGTCCGCTTGGGCCAGTTTGCCTCCAGCTCCCTAGATGAGGGGGTGGCCCGCAGGTTTGGTAATGCCACCCTCTTCTCTATAAGGACTTGCTTTGGGGCCCCTATCCAGTCTCTGTCTGTCTTTCCTGAGGAGCGTGAGGTGCTGATTCCCCCCCATGAAGTCTTCTTGGTCACCAGGTTCTCCCAGGACGGAGCCCAGAGCGTAGTGTCTCTCTGGAGCTATAATCAGACCTGCAGCCACTTTAACTGCGCCTATCTGGGTGGTGAGCTGTGCATGAGGGAAGCAGGACGGGCAGGGTGGGTGAAAGAAACCGGGAAGGCTCAATCCCCAGGACCTTCAGGAAACCCACTTGGTTAATGGGGACACTGAGGGCTAGAAGTCAGCTGAAGGTATTGTTCTTTATGACTTATATTCTTCCAACTCTTAGCAGGTTTTCCAGATCTGTGAATAGTCTCAGATGATTCTGTAAATGTTCTTGAAAAGTTCCATCTGTTATACAGCCTGATAGACCAAAAGAACATGGTTAAGGTTAACAAGCAGAGGAAAGTGGTAGAGGAGTGGTGCTGCAGATCTCGAGGCCCCAAGTTTAATGGGGTTTACAGGGACACTGCTATTCCAAGTGCAGAGAAAGGGACACAAGGGAAGAGTGACTGGGGCTTGGGTGGGGCAGGGAGGGATAGACCACCTGGGGAGATTTCCTGGGGAAGGAAGGGGAAAGGAGAGTCAGAGGGGAAGATGAACTGAGAAGTGGAACGGGCCATGCCAGAGCCTGGTGGGAAGGAAGTTTGGGTGTAAGGGTCTGTCAGCGTGGAGGCCTCACCGTGGTGCTGTCTATTGCAGGGGAGAAGAGGCCAGGCTGTGCATCTTTTCCAAGTGAGTCCCTCTCCTCCCCTGTCCCTCAGCTGTTTTGACTACCCTCCTATTCGTGCTGGCCTTCACCTTCTTTTCTTTCTTCAGAAGGTGACCAGCCAGACTCACCCTCCAACAGGGCCTTCTCGCTGCAGTCCTGGAAAACCCTGCTTTTGGCCCCTGGGGGGTTCCAGCTCTCAGGAGCTGGGCCCTGAAAGTTCAGTGCCTGCCACTTAGGAGTCCTGGGAACTGGTGACCTTCCTATGAAGAAGGGGGGCTTCCAACAGTCTTGAGAATAAGAACATGGTTTCAGACCCAGCCTAGCAGCCATCTTCTCAACTGGGATATGGGGGGCAGGTATAAGGCCATGTAGCATGGAGGGAACCCCACTATGTGGTGGGGACTCTCTGGAACAAGCAAGGGTAGTACTGTGATGGCCACTTGATTAAACAGTATTGCAGTGTGGTGACATTGAATGTCATCATTGGTCGATTCCATGAGACTGGATCACTGTCCTGCTCTGACCACATGGGACTTGTTCATCGCTCTTAGACATGCTCCCCTGTGCAGACCCCTGTCACACCTCAGAAGCTTTAACAGCCAGAGGGTTCCACAACAGGAATGCAGGAAGGGGGACAGATTCCTCGGCTCTTTTGTTAGACGAGGAATTTTGCAAAGTCACAAAGGAAACAATTTGCTCAGAGACAAAGAGTTAGTATCAAGGGCCTCCCTAGTGGCGCAAGGGGTTGGGATGCAGCTTGTGGGGCTCTCCGCAGCCTCTGCAGCATGAGTTCTATCCCCTGGCTGGCCAGGAGCTACCCACATGGCACAGCAGACCTCTCCTGTCTCACCCGCTGCTCCCCTCAGCAATGTACTTTGGTCAGTCTGCCTGTTCTGTTCCCCACTCTGTCTTTGGTGAATCCTCTTGTGCCCCGCATCTCTGGCCTGTACCCCAGCCCTTGTATGCATAAACCAATAAATCTTTAAAAAAAAAAAAAAAAAGAGTATCAAAACCAGGCCCCAGGCCTTCCAGTACAGAGCGCATTGAAGATTTGAGAGCACCCTAAACATTCGAGGGAACTCAAAGTAGGATCCTAAACCCAAGATACCTGGGACCCCCAAACAAGCTATTTCTCTCTGCCCTGCTCCCCACAAGAGTCCATTTCAGGGGAGGGGATCTCAAAGCATCTGGAAACACTCTGGAAACATCTGACATGCAGAACAGAAACTTTATTGAGGCAAGGAAAGCAGCATAGGCACCTACTAAGTGACTCCCTCCTCATCTAGGGTGCTTGACTCACCAACAGAAGGGACCCGCCCATTGCATCAGAACACCTCCTTGCTTCCCAAATCTTCCTCCTGGGGCAGGTCCCCAACCCCCTCTGATTCTTGCTCCCTATGCACTAGCACAGGTGCTGGGGAGGAAGGGCCAGGCTCTCCAGAAGCTGGAGTTCTAGCATCACCAGCACCCTGAAGCCCAATTTCTGAAGATTCCTGGCTCCCCGCAGTCTCTGGCACTGTCAGCTCTGGTGTCTCAGGGATGGGGGGGCCGAGGTTCTGAAAGCTGTTCCGTACTCTTGTGATGTAGTGGCTGAGGATGCTGGCACCTCCGGGGGGCCGGGGTGTCCCTCCTACTGCCAGAGTGCGCTTCACGCTGGCTACCTCACTTTGCAGTCGAGACACAGTCTTGGTCAGCTCTGTCAGTCTGTTGCCCAGGTCTGGGAGGGGGAGACAGTGTTAATGAAGAGGTCTCTCACATGCTGGGCTGCCCTGTACCACGTCTATCCTCAGTGAACCCCAGGAGACAACATGTCTGGGATTTCTGAGGGAAGAGAAGTGGAGGAAGTGAGACTGGCTTATGGAGTGTCACCCAAGTGCCTCCAGATTTAAAATACAGGTGCTCATAGTGCACACTTCCCAGGTTGGTGCTTCCCTGGCCCACCTCTCTAGGGGTCAGACTAGCAGGCAGAGTCTGGGGCACATGAATCTGAATGGGATGGGGTGGTGGTGAGTTTAGAAGGCATCTGAATCCCTAGGGATGGGAAGGTTTGTAATGGGTGGTGATTTGTACATCTGCCCCTGCCAACCCTCCTTCCCATCTACACCCGTCCAACTCATAACCATCCTCAGGGCCCAGTTCACCTTCTCTGTCTCTAGCTTCTGGAACTCCATCCTCCTACCTTCCCATGAGCCTCTCAAAATGACAGGCTCTCTCTCTTCTGGGTTCTCAACTGCAATCTGTGTCTCTCTTAGCTAAGCACTTTCTGCCTAGTCAGAAGTTTTCTCTTCCTCACCAGACTGAAAGCTTTCTCTGAGTCTCTGCTCTACACAGTCCCCCCTCCCTCCAAGACAGAGTCTGGAACAAAGAAGACATAGCAATGACCATTGGTTCAATGAGTGAATAAATAAAAGAATGAATGAAGTAAATGAATGAATGGGTAAGAGAGTAATGTGAGAATAAATGAGCATATGAATGAAGGCAGAAATGGGAGGATGAAATGAGTGGAATAGAGAATGGGTCAGAGAGTAACTGAGTGCAAGGGACCACATTGTGCAAGTTTCGGTTCCAGGGGCAAGGGAGGGAGGGACACATATAACTAGGTTGGGAGAGAGGTGTGAACCTGTGTGTTGTGCTTTTATCCTAGCTGAGCAAGGAACAGGAATGGGGAAGGCTTGGAGGTGAGCAACCAACCTTTCCGACGGGTCTCCTCGAATTCCCTCCGGGCTGTGTCTATATAGCGTTGCACCAGGGCCTTGATGACACGTAGGCGGTAGGATCCGCGCTCACCCTCCCCAGGTTCTGTCCCTGCCCCAGGATTGGCCTGGGTTGGGAAGACAGGAGGGTGTGAGAGACTGTTTACCCTCTACCATTGTGCTAATCACTGTTCCCTCTTCTAGGCAGTGAAGGACAGAGGCAAATCTATTAGGAAGGCCACATGTCTGGACCCTGGTACTTTCTTGGAAGATAGAAGGATGGAGGCTAGCAGTTGGGGAAAGGGCAAAGGAAAGGCAACGGGGGAGGAGGATGGGATGAAATGAGTGGAGGGATTGAATGAGGATGGGATTGAAAGGTGGAAGTGGTGGGGGGAGCAGAGACAGAATGTTGCCACCAACCCAACCTTGTTTTTCTTGAGTTAAGTTAATCCAGGTTAACCCTGCCTTAAAATCCTGCAGAGGGGCGGAACGAGCAGATGTGGGGAGGCATCCGATGCATGGGCCTACTCATGCATGTGAGATGGAAATCAGGCAAATAAGAATGACTGGGTTCTGGGTCCAGTTTTAGGCCTCAGGACAGTACCAGGAGGGGGGCAGGTAACAGAGAGAGCACAGGTAGAGTAGGCAAAGTTCTGGATTGGAAGACACAGGTTCAAAGGCCAGCTCAGTCCTTTTGTAGCTTTGTGCCGCAGGCAAGTTCCTTGACTTCCTTAGGCCTGAGTGTCTCCAGATTTAAAATACAAGTGCTCATAATGCCCGATTCCCTGGTTGGTGCTTCCCTGGCCTAGAGTAAAGGCTCTCTAGAGGCTTAAGAAATAATTATTTTCCTTTAACTAGTTTTATTTTTCTCTAAATATTTTAGAGTTAGCATCTCTACTTCTGTAATGTAAAATAAGCATAGCATTTACTAAGTATTTTGAAGGAGAGGTGAGTCGTCAGAGATGGGGCAGACAAGTTGAGAGAGAAAGATGAACCCTTTTAGGCTAGAGTATATACTGCATTTTTCTTGTGTAAAATAAGGAATAAAAATTGTGGGGCCATTCCCTGAGGATGCAGGATAAATGGGAAAGGAGCCTGACTGGAGGACCAAAGAACTGGCCAGTGAGGTGGGGGGCAGCTAGAAGAAGGGAACCTCAGTGGGGTGCAATGGAAGACTGGGAGATACCCATTTGGCTGGGATGTGGGATCTGTCAGGACGCAGAGACTCTGCCCATCCAGGCCTGGGCGCGGACCTGAGAATTGAACACAACCTCAAAAGTTAAGTTGAATTTTCTCCTTGTGTGGAGGCAGCCCTGGCATGTGGTCTGCAAATATGCATCAGGCATCCTGGACAGGGTCAGGAAGTGGCGAGGGGTAGAGGAGCTGGGGCTGCAGGGGGTTGGAAGGGTGGTATTTTCAGAAATTAGTGTCATAGGTCCCAGTAGGCGAAAGAGGCATCCATGCAGGGGGGTGGGGAGTGCCGTGGGGTTGGAGCTGGAACTTAGGGCCTTCAATTTCTGCTGTCATGTCTTGTGCTTTTGCACATGCTGTTTCCTGTGCTGCCATCAACCTCCTGTTTATTCTAAAGGATTCTGCTCTGCACACAAGGTCTCTGGGAAGCTCCCTGATCTGAAGCTCCCCCTCTGCAGCCCAGTAGCCCCCCATGTTTCCTTTTATCAGAGGCTTGTCATACTGGAAAGTTAGTCTGTTTCCTTCTGCTACTCTAGACCGGGAGCACCTTGAGGGACCACCGTCAGGCTTGCCTTTCTCTCCAGTTTGGTAAGTGTTTGTTGAACACATTATTGATCCACCAGATAAGGGAAGGCCTTCTTCATCTGGGGATCCAAGATTGGAAGATTAGAAAATGGCCAGAGCTAGGAAGAGGGAAAGGCAAACTATGTGAGAGAACAGGAACTGGAGACAGACTTCCCAAGCAAGACACCTGCACACAGACAAGCTAGGGATGTGTAGACAAAGGAACAAAATGTATGAACAACAGGTTCCTGATGTGAAGAAGACCAACAACTAGGGGATGAGGTACTCACAAAGGTGGGGATTGGAGGATAGTCTGGCTTCTTGATTTTGCAGCAAGAGCAACAGCAGCAAATGAACTGGAAAATTCTCCTGAGAGATTAGATGGCATGAAAGGGTTAGTCAGAGGACAGGGTCTATGCTCCTGGGAGAAGTAGTTGCGGGGCAGGGGCGGGGGAAGAGGGACGGGAGGGGGACTGTGTCTGGATGCCTGGGGCGGGTGGGAGTGAGAACTCTAAGGACATCACCTGAGAAGGTAGAAGATGGCCTTGGGAGAGGGCAGGATGTTGAAGGGCACAGGCAGCGTCAGGCCTTCTCGGAAGTAGGACAGGTAGAGCTTGGAGCGAGCAAACTTCCATTCTACATCAGCATCATCCTGGGGTCCAGCAGGTGTGCGCTCAGTGGGGACCACTTTGGTTACTGGTCCTCCTGCCCACCCACACTGCCTCCGTCCTCACAGCACCTCTTCAGTGAGCCAACCACTTTCTTCTCCCCATTCCTATCTCCATTCTCATTGCTTACCCACACTCTCCCTGCTTATCTCCCTCTTGCTTCTTCCCCCCATTAGCTTTCTGACATCCCTCTACCCAGTCTGCTTGCCAGCCACAAACCCCAGCCCATCAGTCCTCTTCCCCTCCCCTCTCATGTCCTCACCCACTTTCCCACAACACTCTTCCTCCCAAACATAAAGTGCAAAGAGCACTAGACTTGTGTTTGGAGAAACAAATACTAAGACCCACATTTTCCAGATCTGGAAAATGAGGCCAAGAGGGAAAGTTGCCCCAAGGCACAAAACAAGACAGCAGCAGAAGCAGAGCAGACACCGGGTGTCTACCAGTTCTCTCCCCTTCTCCTCCCTGGCCTAACGTGCTCTCAGTTCACGTACCTCAATCTTCTGGAAGGAGTTGGTGATCATGGCGATAAGCATGTTGAGCAGCACAATGACCATGATGATGGTAAAGATGCCGTAGAGGGCCCGGCCCACAAATTCAGGCACCAGAAACTGAGGCATGTCTACCACACTGTGCTCCTCCATGCCAAACATGGTCCAGAACAGAAACTGGAATGTCTCATTGAAACTGGCGTGGGGGCCAAGTAAAGAGGGGACGTGAGGGGTGGAAATGAGCTTGAGAGCCATTCAGACACTCTCCTCCTCACCTCCCAGGACCCAACCAAAGGCATTCCACTTCCATGAAGCCTTTGGACCAGCCCAGTCCATATAGACACTTGCCATTTCTGTGCTCCAACTTTTATTCTTTCAGTCAACCAATATTTATTGAGCACATAGTAGTACCACGGGTGCTAAGGAAACAGTTGTGAACAAGATGTCCTGTCTTCAAGGAACTGATGCTCTGGGATGGGAATTCTAATTATGCAAATAGTTTAAAATTGTGGCAAGTGAAGTAAAGGAGCAGCACAAGGCATGGCCCTAGTCTGGGAGTTGGGGAAAGCTTCTTTGAGCATTCAAGCTGAACTCTGAAGGACACATGGGAATCAACAGGTGAGAGGGAAGGAGATGTGGAGAAGTGTTCCTCAAGGCGGAGAGCCTGGGGCATTTCAGGAACCGAAAAAGGCTAGCAAAGCTGGTATTGGAGGGCAAAGGAGTGAGCGTTGTGAGAGGTAAGTCGGGACCAACCAGATCATGCAGGATTTCATAGGATAAAAACAAAGATCCCTACCATGGCCACCACCTTTAGGAAGCTATGAAGAGCTCTAAGCAGAGGGTTCATACTTGATTTACATTCGAAAAGATCACCTTGACTGTTGTGAGTAGAATGGAAGGGAAGAGGGTGAGAGATGGGGGCATGGAGACCACTTAGGAAACTGTTGCCATGGTCTGGGTGAGAGGGGATGGTGGTTTAGACAGCAGTGGTAACAACACTAGTGCTGCCTCTTCCAGGAAGCCCTTTTCTACTCCAGAATGTCTGTTAATTATTTGTAGACCTGACCACATTCTCCCTGCTATTGTATTTATTCATGGCTCTGTCTTATGTCCTCCATCTTAGTGCCAGCTCAGGCCTTGATTACTGCAGCAACCTCTGCAACTGGCCTCTGACCTCAATGTCTCTTGTTATTCCATTCTCTACATTCATTCCAGGTGTTCTTTCTAAATGCTGATATGATGTGTTCTATTTCTGCTTGTTGAATATTAAATGCTCTTAACTACTTTCAGTCAAAATGTCTACCATGCAACATACCTGAGAATTTTAGCAAACATACTTTTGACCTAATTAGTTGTCATCCATGAACACATAGCCAGGAGTTTAGAGACAATGTAAGAATGAGTAATGGATGAGTAAATGAATAAATGATTGAGTGGGTGTGAATCAAGCAGGGAGTGATTCACCAAACCAGAGAATGAATATTGAATATTGAGTGAACAGGTGAGGGGGGGAGAGGGAAAGGAAGAGGCGATCAGCCGCAGGGTCCCGCCTGCCTCTGCCCCTGCATACTTGCCCAGCCGCTCTGTCTCCTGGTAGGGCACATAGATGTTGTTGAGGCCACAGAGGAATGCAGTCAGGATGATCATGAGGATGAACATGAACCTGGAAGGGGGTGGGATGGGAGAGAATCAGAGCAGGTCTCCAGCATGGGAGAAGTCGGGCCCTGGGGAGAAGGGAGAGGGCCTCCCGATCTCAGCCTCTGCACTTGACAAATACTCAATTCAATTATTGTTAAGAATAAAAAATGTAGGGGATGGCAAGTAAGTAGGGATTTAAAGTGGGTGTCAAAACAGGAATAAAGGGTATTCAAGAATAGAGGGTGTTATAAAGGGTATTGAGGTTAGGGTGTCAGAGCTGGGGATGGGGCAATCTCCTTGGGAGGGACTGAGATGCTGAGATGTGGTTCAGGGATGCATGAGGGTCAGAATCCTGCTGAACGCATTCATCACTAGCAGAGTTAAAGCTACATGTAAGACTGAGTTAGCCTACATCAGGGAGGGCTAAACATCTCAGCGGTGGGGAGGGAGCTTTTCCTCTAAGCTAAGCTGAGCTGAAGATGTCCACAGACATAACCAGGGCTGTTCCCACCAAGGGCACCCACTCTATTCCCACCTCAGCAGGTATATCCCCAGGGGACCAGGCACTCCCTGTGGGTTCTGATTAGGGTGAGAGGCCAGGTAGGTGATAAGCATCAAGAAGACCAAACAATACCATGAGTTCAAAGAGCAGCTGTAGAGTGGCAAGGATCCAAAGGGACCCCTAGCTGCAGTGCCCTTGCTGCAAAGATGGGAAAACCGAGGTCTACAAAGGGTCACGGAGACAGCAACATGATTGGCCCTGATTTTCCAAGGAAGGGCTCTTTCTGCTATAGGTGCTTTGTCTTTTCTAGGTCGTGGGCCTCTTTGAGAATTAGATGAAAATTATAGATACTTTCTGCAGAGAACATACATTTACACCTGCAACTCTGCCTGTAGTTTCAGAGCTCTCTGGACTCTGTGAAGGAACACAGGCTAAGAACCCCTGTGCTGCACTGGACTGGGAGGAGGTCAAGCGGAATCTCTCAGGGAGGAGTGTGCAGAGACAGCACTCACCGCATCATGTCGTCGATCATCTTGCCAATGGAAATCTGCAGAGTGCCCAGGGACTCATGGGCCGGCAGAATGTAGGCCAGACGCGTGAAGCTAAGCATGCTAGTGACAGCAAAGAGCACCTCAGCCAAGAACTGGGGGTCCTCGGTGTGCCACTCACTTCGCTCTGTGCAGGGAGGAGTAGGGGCTAAGACTGAGAGCCAAGGAAGAGAACTGGGGAATTCAGGGCTGGGTTGATGTCACTCACCAGCCGTGGTGAAATAGTGGCAGCGAGCCCCATCCGGCGCATCCTGGCAGTGCACGTGTGCAAGCCCAGCCATGAGA